GCAAGCGAAATTTTCAGCAGGATCCCAGAGACCGTTCAGTTGAACCATCAGAACAGTCAAACCAGAACGGTTGTTAGGTCATCTGTCTTTCGAGGCGTCAGACGAAAAGCAGTATCGAATGCCTCGGCCCAGAAATTTTGGCCCACGGACATCTGCGTTCATGGAAATGACGGCCACGAACGTTTCGGCAGTCGGTGTCAGTTAGGCTCTCGAAACGAACCATCTCATAAGTTCCTTCGGGAGTACCCCAAAGGCTGCTTGACTAAGCTTATCATAATGCTCAGTTTAGACGTTAGTAGTCCGTATTCACGTTGCTCATAGGTAACATTGGTTAAATATATAGCTCGTTTGAAAAGCAGTGGAACCTAATGAAGTGGGAGATGAATAAGTTTGTGATGAGCGTTGACGAGAATACCAAAAAAACTATTTCACTTTATCCCGTACGTTCAATGTTAAAAGCCTGAGTCGATGAGTGTTCTTTTTGACAACTTCTCATGGCATCTGCTTACAGGAATGGTAAGAAGGTATGTAAAATTTTCCGTCCAGTTTATCATTTTGGTCTCTTACCAAACATGACCTTATCCCTGCGTACCTCAGATCCTACATCAGTCAAATCAAAAGACTGATGTCTTCCGTCACCACAAATTTGACGCAAGCTTACTATTGTGCCCCTTCAACACACCGTGTATCTACTCCAACGATCTGTGCGCTAAAATCGGTTTCCCAAAATTTTGAGATACTGATAAAAGTTGCGTGACAGGAAGCCTTTTTTTCGATTCTAATAGCCTACGAAAACTGAACAATTTCGAAACTCTAGTGGATGGGAATTTCATTGACCGAAGTTGCCCTGGACCGATGTCCGCAGCGGCAATGTTCAAGCGACAGATGGACCGGTCATATCGATCAAAGTGTGGCGTGTTCGTCTGTCTAGGCACGCTTGACCAGCGTGCCTTGGTGGAGTGGTGGTAACATCGTTCACTTGCGTATCAGCTGACTAGTCGGAATAACTGACAGGATAAGATGAAAATGAGCTTGATGAAAACTCACAAATTACCATTATTTGGTGTTCAATTATGAAATAAGCTCGATGGAAATGTGGTGGCTAACCAACTCGTTCGCATTGATTCTGGAAAATGAACTGGATTCGCCAAACATGGGACCTCATTTTTCTGTCCTTTAAATCGGAGTAGAATGTTTCGATATCACAGTGCACGAAACACTGTGCTTATGATGATCGAGACCCTGCTCCGAGCCTACGTAAGCTAGTTTGCTCCAATTAGACGTAAGCGTTGCCATCCAACCGTGACTTCGTTTGGGATGTCGTAAGTTATTCGTCTACTATTCTGATCTACCTTTTCCTCTGTACGGAAGCAGAGTTTCACGGAGGGAATATGGAAGGGTGCACCTTTTGGAGCATACCATTTTTCGCCACCTGTGCTAGGCTGTTCAGAATGCGAATATTCGCTTTTTCTCGGGAGGACAAAACATAAGAAGTCATCGTTGCTATCCCATGAACCCCACAAAAGCCAGCAGTTCTTAGAGAGAATCTCCTTTTCCAGAACGATGAGTTAAGACAGGCTGTTGCCCGACCTCTATCCTGTCGGTCTGAATTTTGATTCAGGTTGGATACTGCTTCAAATGGATTAAGAAAAGAATGTGTAGAAAAGCAGAGCCTGCACTCTCACTCACCTTTGCAGGTTCCCTCTTCGGAGGTCAGCAGTTCACCTTCACAATTCTTCGGGACAAGTGATGCACATTTTTTATGAACCCACAGTTTGCAATCTGTTGAGACCAGAAATCAATGAACGTCATGAAATAATTGCGCTTGCCTGCGAAATGAAATGACTAACATAAGGGGGAATGCAGTTGACGACTCAACGGAAAACCTGACACAACTGGGCTACGAAGTTTACTCTAATCTAGCTGTCTAGTTGAGCCAAATTATCCCACCTTTGCACTGCAAGCCTTGCCGAAAGAGACCATGCAACAGACGATGACAGTGTTGGCAAACGGTTGGTTTCGCGCTGCGATGCAATTCAAAGGTATGCGGTACTTCCACTGGCATTTGTACCGCTTGTTTCGACCAACTGGGCAACCCTAAAATCAGCGCAGTGGAGGGAGCCATTGTGGTGCTGATTGGTCTAATCTGACCAACTTTGATTGGTCCACTGTCCTGTGTACCCTGTCTTTCACAAGGGTTCCACTCTGTCGGAGTTGGGGGCTTGCTGAAGGGTTTAAAAAGACAGCAGATGATCAAAACTTGAGAATTTGATACAAATTTATAAGATATTTTATCATAGGTGCACCTTGGATCTAAGGGCACAAAACCCCAAACGATTAACCATATTTTCTATGAAAGAAACTACATTTAATGTTGCTGGAAACGCTTGCGACCGGTTTCGCCCTTCCCCTCCCCCCATATAACTCATCGGGTTGCCGGTAGCCGTATATTCTACCTGGGCATAAGTGAAAATGTACTGTGATATATATCGTGCCAAGTAAAACATGAGGCAGTGCTTTTGCAGCGCAATCATTTAACGGACATCACAATCCAGAGATTCAAATGAGATTCAAGCGACCCTCCGGTATAATGTGAATAGTTATGCAATTGAGTGTATTCATTGAGCTGTGTGTTTCCTACAGCACGTCCACCATCGATTTTGACCAGGTTTCATTAAGAAACTTAGATTTCGTCCACATGGTATTGCTTTATATATGTGTGTAAATTATATTTCATCTCAACGGTATATTTATAGAGGCTGCTCAGCTGCCTGGTCCTTATTGGAGCAAAGCTCACCTCAGCGTTCTCGAGTGATCTTTTTCCAGGATTGCAGCATGAGTGGTGCCGTATCCTGTCCAGGTGCGAGTTCGTCATACTGCTGACCAGCTGCTTCTAGCCGACCGGTTAAATGTTCAAGCTACCAGCCGAGAGGTTGCCAGTTCGCAGGAGACTCGTGAAATACGCACTACTGATGATCCGTTCAGTGAGGATAAATCAGCCGTACAACTGAACATTTGCTTTCGGCTCAGATTGGCTTTACTTACAAGACGAAACCTTCAATGAGGCAGTTAACCGGGCAGATGTGAATCTGATTTATTTGGCAGTACAGTCCGTCACTGATATCACTATTTCAAGGGGTGAAGAATAACAAAGTGACTTCGAACCATGGCATCATCTGGAAGCTCATTTGACAAGGCACAGTTTTACTGACCGGAAGCTTCGTGGTTCGAACCCAGGCTCGAGATCTCGACCGTTCTTGTCTAAGTCTGGGCAGTATTTTAGCCTCTGTGCTTACTCCGGTTGGCATGGCAACTAAGTATTGAAAGGGTGTTACTTAGTATCTACTTGGACGTCTCAGGAAAGCACTAGTGATGTGGAGATCAAACACAATTATCCAATAATTGTACAAAGTATGATCATTCGCAGTTAATATAGACTTTGTTCGATAGAAAACAGGAGAAGATTCCCGATGAGGAATCCATATTCCCATGCTATGAACTAAATAACACCCTTGGAGATAGGATCATAACCTCGAACATTTGGTTACCCTCCCCGAGGACAGTAACCATACTTCGGAGAATTGTTGTATGACTTGCTAAAGAAAACACGATTTCGAACCGTGGAAAATATTTGAGTGAGAACAGCAGGTTGATAATGGTTGATTGAACGGATTAGTGGGTGAGAACGTTGAGGAATCGTGCCCTGGATTAAGCCCTGACTTTGTGTCAAAATTTTATCGTTTTCTCTCACAAAAACATCCACGAATAGTATATGCATATTACACACACAACATACGAAGTAAACGTAGTTCCTCCGGGAATGCAGTTAGTTTCTAGTTATTTAATCGCTACTGAGCGATAATAAAAAACTTCTATTTACATTAGAACAGAATCAGAGAGATAACTAACATAAGAGTGGAAGGAAACAGATGGTGGTTCTTCTGAAAAGGATTTTAAATTGGTCTATTCATTTTGCACCCGAATAGTTGTCTTTTTCAGGAGCATATATACCTGCATAAAAGTTCAACATTCAGCATCCTGGTTTGCAAAGCGGTCAATATTGCCAACCATTTTGAGTACAATGAAGACATTACGTCTTAGGTTGGATTGTGTCATTCTTGAACGCACCGCGCTTCGTTCCCACACGTGCCGCTACAAACGAGGCGTTGAACGGTCGTAGAACAGGGCAGTGTCAAAGACGCTACATACTACACGTAAGGTTGCTGAAACCTCTCTGGTTGGGTTTCCCGTGAACACAAAATTGGTAGGCGAACGAGTGTAGGCCGCCAAGGGTAGCGTCATGTTGTAAAGACTTCTTAGACCGGTAAACAGAATTTTTAAGCGGATAACTCATGAATACGCCTCAGTGAACGTGCCACGGTTTTACCTCGCATGGTTACGTTGGCTTATCAGTAACAACAGTTTCGTATAATCATGCTCGGAAAAAAGTCGGGCATGTTGAGGAATAAAATAACTCAAACGAAAAACAGTTTTTAATAAATAAATTTCGTGGCACGAACGCCTCTCATTTTATATTGGTTTTGACGGCAGAGAGAAATCGGAAGCACTCGGAAAACCTCCCACTGTGAGCAAGCACAAAGAGTCTAAATGTTACCCTGTTTAGATGGAGCACTCGACCAAAATTCAACTTGTTTCTGGTTTGACTCATATTCCGATTTGAAAGATATTCATTGTATCGGAGTATGTCAACACAGACACAAAACATTACTCACAAGGTCAATTAATTTTTGGACACTGATCAATGGATTGATTAATCATAAATGAGTTCTTAAAACCCACATTGTTGACCTGGGGTCTAAGTACGAAATCAGATCGAAAAAAATTCCAGTTTGAATTTGTTTGTTCATTTCCATGGAGAGTCGGAACCAGCAGTAGTCTCCCCGGGGTTTTCAATTGACATTAGAAGTAGTACTGTATCAACTTAAATCTACATTATCGTAAGAGAAACTACTCACAAGGTTGCTGAAAACTCCTCGACAGACCACAACCGGTTTTGCTCTTTTGCTTCGGGCTCATCAGGTAGGCTCAGTCCCCGAGTTTCGTCAAACTTATGTTCTACTTGAACCCGAATTGGACTATTTTCGAGAGTTACACTCATTTGCAAATCAAGTTGGTTTTCACGAGAGACTCAACTGAATCTCCTGCTTAGGATATTCAGTTGAGTCTCTCGTGAAAACCAAATTGATTTGCAAATGAGTGAATTTCTCGTAAATCTACGGTACATTTCGATCAGGTTCATTCATAGAACATAAAGTTTGAGTAAAAAACTGACTGGTATGTAGTAGTCCAGGATTTGCCTGGGTTTGACAATAGTTATATGCAAGCTAATATGGGCTGTAGGTCATAGGATACTTGAGATCTCGATAAGTGTGAGGTGATCAACAAAGTAGGAATAAATCAAACTTTGGTTTTGCCGATATGCCCGGGATC